CCCAAACAAACACCTACAGCCCCATATCCCCTCTTTCCCCCCTCACAACCCCAAACACCACAGACCCTCTCAGCCCCTGGTGTCTGAGATCCCCCTCCCAGAGCCAATTCCCCACCCAAAGTTCCTGACTCAGCTTCCTCAGAGATCCCTGCTTAACCCCTCCTTAACTCAACAGACACCTCCTCTGCTCAGCCCCACTCCACTGATATGGCCCCAGCTCCAGGGAACTGCCCCCCCCACCACTGCTGCCTTTTTCCCCTGTCCCAAGCACCAGCCCATTCTCTTCTCCTTATCTACACTGGCAAGCACTGGACACCACTTCCTTCTGACCCCACTCTCCTCCTTCCTCTGCCTGACCCAGCCCCTCTGTTCTAAACAGCGCCTCCAGGGCGACTACTGCGGAAAACCACACAGCACACAGCTAATCTGGGGAACTCACTGCCACAGGACATCACTAAGACAAAAAGTTCAGCAGGATGAGCCATTGGCACGGATCATGAGAGCCACCGTGGTTACATTATATCAGAGATTGAATTAAACCACCATGGTGCAGGTCTCCAGCCAGCCACTAACTCACAGACTTGTTCACTGGGGCTACAGCAGGGGGGGCTGGTTCCTCCAGGAGTCACTGCTCTGAGCAGGGCTGTTCCCAGGAGCCTGGGGAAAGAGGCACATTTAATACCAAAAATCTCTGCCAGCTCAGCTCTAAGTGTTCAGATACTCTGAGGCCATGCATAGTGCTCTGCCCCCTTAACGCTGTGCCCCATGTAGAGTGGCGGTGGTGGTGGAGGGGCCTGCAAAGAGAGCCTGGGACAGTGACATGGGATCCCCTGCTCCCTCCCAGAAAAGGAGCAGGTGACTCTCTCCCACTCCTTGGGAATAGCTAGGTGCCCATGGAGAGGCAGGGTGCAGTAGAGGTCCCCCCCAGTCCTCACCTCCCCAGCCAGGGTGTATCTGCTTGGGTGATGGGGTGGGGACAGCTGAGGAGCTCTTCCTCTCCTCCTGAACACAGAGCCCCCTTCTGGGGGTTGGGGGGGTTGGGGAGGGGGTCCTGAGAGCAGTGGGGTTGGAGTTCGAACCCATGGAGAGATGCCTGGAGAAGTTCCCCTCTCCCAGAGCCATTGTCTCAGGCTCTCTGCAGACTCAGACAGATTATGCTGTAGTGACTAAATTCAGGGCAGCTCCCCCCCCACACACACGAGCTGTTGCTTCAGGCTGTGGGTGGTGCAGCATCAGGTGCTGACCTGACCCCTGTCATACCCCAGACACTGGACTCTGGCAAATTCTGTGTTCCTGTAGAAAATAGGCAATTTCTGTTTGAAGAAAATCTGATGAGTATTTCACCCAGATCTATGAAAATTCAGTAAGAGCTCAAACAAAACTGAATCATGGATAAGCCATCCATTACACCATCCATTATAAATTATTCATCCGGTGTCAGGTCTTGTCCCCCAGGTTACAGGTGGGCCAGCTGAGGCACAGAGAGTTGAGATAATTTAGTTGTCTAGCTGGGTTTAAATCACAAAATCTCCAGGTGATTTGACTTTCCCTCTCTAGCCCCTGCTGCTTGGCTGCACTTGTTATAATTTTCAGCTGGGATTTTCAAGGGAGTTAGGCACCCAAGATATACATAGCTATTCCCTTAGGCTCCTTTGCAAATCCCAGCCTTCATATTTATGAAACTCAAGAAAAGTCCAGGCCTTGGAAATTTACAAGATAGAACCAGGGCCAGGATTACAAAGGGGTTTGGGCACCTAAAGAACTTGCTAGTTGCTTAGTGGGATTGGCAGTAGCACCTAAGCAAGTTAGGTGTCTAACTCCCATTGAATGTCCATGGGACTTAGCTTATCTGGCTGACTTGGAGCTTTGATAAATCCCAGTAGATGCATATCTCCATCTTTAAGTGCCCAAATCCCTTGGTAATCCTGGTCAACAGATACACAGAAGCTGGGCTGGAGTCAGGAAACCCTGGGGGGAGGGATCCTAGGGGCTGTGCTAGACAAGGGGCAGATGACAGAGGATCAGAATGGCTCCTTTTGGCTTTAAATGTGATGAATCGAGGAACTTTTGTCTCTGCTTCCGAGCTGTGCAGGGGCCTAGGGAGTGAGCTTTATACAGGGTAAAACGGATTTATTTGGGGTTTGGACCCCATTGGGAGTTGGACATCTGAGTGTTAAAGACAGGAACACTTCTGTAAGTTGTTTTCAGTTATGTCTGCAGCTTTGGGACAAGTAATTCACTTAAGCCAGCAATGAACTTGGAGACACCAATCCACATCTGGGCTTTGCCAGGAATGTGGCTTGGCTGGTAAAGAACTCAGTCATGCATGGACATGTGACTTGCCCAGGTAACTCCAAAACTCCATTTTGTAGCTGGACTTTGCATAGGAGAGAGGAGGGGGTCTCCACCCACAAGAGAAAGTATATTTAAGCCCAGGGGAGACCCCTCCATTTGGTCTTCAGTTGGCTAAAGAGAAAGCCTCTCCACCCCCCAAAGATACCTGAAAAAAACTGGAATGAAGGACAGTAATTGCAAAGGGTGTGAGTGATTGCTGGACCCAGACTAGAAGGAGATTAGTCTGTAAAAGGAAGCATACTGGAACTGGTGAGGATTTTATCTGTATTCAGTTGGATTAGACATAGATGGGCGTGTTTTATTTTATTTTACTTGGTAATTCACTTTTTTCTGTGTGAAACCACTTAAATCCTACTTTCTGTATTTAATAAAATCACTTTTTACTTATTAATTAACTCAGAGTATGTATTACTACCTGGGAGGGGTAAGCAGCTGTGCCTATCTCTCTATCAGTGTTATAAAGGGCAAAAAAATTGTGAGTTTACCCTGTATAAGCTTTATACAGGGT